CTAGCTCTTCCCAAGCATTTTTAGGTCATCCCCAGTATTTTCTAGCTCAACCCTAATATTTTCTAAATCATCCACCGCATGTTCTAGATAATCCTCACTTTTTTCTAAATCATCCCCAGTATTGTCTAGCTCATCCCCAGTATTGTCTAGCTCATCCCCAGTATTTTGTAGTTCACACCCAATATTTTCTAGCTCATCCCTAATATGTTCTATCTCATCCCCAGTATTTTGTAGCTCATCCCCAGTATTTTGTAATTCACACCCAATATTTTCTAGCTAATCCCTAATATTTTCTAGCTCATCCCTAATATTTTCTAGCTCATCCCTAATATTTTCTAGCTCATCCCAATATTTTCTAGCTCATCCCCAGTATTTTGTAGTTCACAACCAATATTTTCTAGCTCATCCCTAATATTTTCTAGCTCATCTCTAATATATTCTAACTCATCTTCAGTATTTTGTAGTTCACACCCAATATTTTCTAGCTCATCCCTAATATGTTCTATCTCATCCCCAGTATTTTGTAGCTCATCCCCAGTATTTTGTAATTCACACCCAATATTTTCTAGCTAATCCCTAATATTTTCTAGCTCATCCCTAATATTTTCTAGCTCATCCCTAATGTTTTTTTAGCTCATCCCTAATATTTTCTAGCGCACCCCCAGTATTTTCTAGCTCAACCCTAATATTTTCTAGCTCATCCCTAATATTTTCTAGCTCATCCCTAATATTTTCTAGCTCATCCCTAATATTTTCTAGCTCATCCCTAATAATTTCTAGCTGATCCCTAATATTTTTCAGCCCATCCCTAATATTTTCTAGCTCATCCCCAGTATTTTGTAGTTCACACCCAATATTTTTTATCTCATCCCTAATATTTTCTAGCTCATAACTAATATTTTATAGGTCATCTCTAATATTTTATAGCTCATCCCCAGTATTTTTTAATTTACACCCAATATTTTATAGCTCATCCCTAATATTTTCTAGATCATCCTCTGTATTTTGTAGTTCTCACCCAATATTTTCTAGCTCATCCCTAATATTTTCTAGCTCATTCTTAATATTTTCTAGCTCATCCCCAGTATTTTGTAGTTCACACCCAATATTTTTTATCTCATCCCTAATATTTTCTAGCT